TGTCAAGTTGATTAAGACATAACAAAACTGTCATGAATTACAAAGAAACAAACAATTTTGAATTTATAAAGTAATATTGATAATCAAATGATGAATAGAGTTTGTTTCACAGACATAACAGAAGTATTATGATAACATTAATAAATTCAGATTGATAATCAAATGTGTGGAAGAGATGGTCGAGACAAGGACATCAAAAGGGGTCCATGAGAAGAAAATAAAGACGAACATTTCTACAAAGAGACGCAAGAGAAAATAAGGCTGCCTTCTGACCTAACCCTATTCATATAAATTATAATTTGTTTTTGTATAAAAAACCAAAACTATTATTTTGATTTTTATGAATTTTTTATTTTCTTAGTGGGGACCCAAGTTTTGGACTTCTCATACATATTCCAAAAAATCTGCACAAAAATAGATTCTTTAGACGTGACCATGTGAATATTAGCAATTTTCCGTTGTGAAAATTTTCATGAAGCATATTTTTAGATCAAAATGTAGGACCTAGTTAGATCTCAAACAGACAATTAGTCTCTTTCCTTTTTTTACAATATTAATTGTTTTCTTTCGAACTTCTTATTGCACCTCTTTTAAAACACGATCGAGCTTAAGTGATTCAAGATTCAAGACTAATTAAGGAGCAACAACTTAGTACTATCAGTGTATGCACTATGCAGTGTTAGTGTGGATCCTTTCGTTTTGCATTTCATGTGGAATCTTTTGCAAAAAAAAAAATCATTAGATGTGAAATGAACTACTCAACTACATCTTAAATTATTATGCTATGTAACACATGTACAAATATCACATAGGCAAATTCACTTCACTCTAATGTAAGCTGTGTATTTACTTCTTCAAGGTGATATGAAAATGAGTCTTCATGCATCGTAACTTTGAGCTTGATTGTTGAAAATGTAATGGTTGCTTCATATTCTTAGCCCTTGTGCTACAACGGAATCCATCCCTGTTTTGTAATAAGAATTAGTGGTGGTCTAAGTGCTTTCTACAATACAACCATCTGCAAAACCAAAATGGCTTTAAGAACTTTATAACTTGTGTGTATATTCACCTTAATGACTCCAGCTTCTGTACCGCAAAATACGACATCGTTCGCAGCAAGAAGGCTTGTTATTTTGCTCCCTGCTGATAATCTTCCCACTTTCTGTTGTGTCCTTCTCAACCAAACCTTATTTTTTTTCACAAACCATATGGTCTTTCTTTTAATATCAGATACAATTATGATAATTAAAAACGTTAGAGCAAAAAAATATCTTATAATCCTACTACATAAGCTAGTCAAAGGTAGTTTCATTGCATTTGGTTTGAGTTTAGGAAGTATTTTGAACTTTGCAGAAAAAGATTACCTGAAGAGTGTTTGAAGATGAACTTCGATTTAGGTATATGAAGTCTTCAACAACACCCATTGCTACTATATTGGATCCTTTTTCCGCTGTTATCGACATTTGTGGATCATAATTCCTTCTCAAATCCTGTACATCATTTATTTAAGTCACTTTATTTAGTCTTTTTTTCCTTCACATTGTGACAATTTTGAATGTAGATTTTACCTTTATATTGGACATGTCAACATGTGTGCTTGAGCTATATAACATGTCTTTGTACACAACCACTGAATTAACAGGCTTGTTCTGAATTCTCCAACTTCTAGTTGGTGCTCTGATCTCTTTCTCTCGTTTACTTGCGAGGATTAGTTCCTGAAATTCTATGTTACTTGGTGTCTTTGTAATTAATTCACTATCATTTTGATGAAAGGCAACATATTACATATACCTGTATGCTTGAATCTATGCATCCTATATAAATCTTTCCTTGGGTTGCAACCATACTCTTCACACCTTTACCTTTGAAGATACTTTGAGATATTCTTGATGAATCAAGCACCTGAAGAAGATTATTATCTATTAGCCATTATATGATATTATTATGTAAAAGTCTCTGCACTCTTGTGGCATAATTAGAGATATCTACCTTCATTTTGTGCCCTTTGGTTATGACAAAGATCATAGTTCCAAATACTTCCACTTTCCTTATGGATTCTTTTGTTTTTATGACTTCAATGCATTCCAGTTTTCCTTTAACTATCTGCCATATCTATATAAGAGAATGTAAGTACATACATATCAGAAAAAAATCCAATTTTCTGCTGATTCAAGTGATGTTTCATGGAAACAAAGAGCTAATAATTCATACTTTGATGGTTTTATCTGCAGATCCACTTAAGACACTCTCTCCAGTTTCAGAGAGTGAAAAGCATGTTACCGTGCTTTTATGCTCCTTGATGCTCCATACAAGTGTGGATAATTTCTCATTCACATTCCATACCTGATATACTTCCATGCTCAAGGAAAGGTTTCTTTTTAACATTTGTATTCCTATTCAATTCTATTAATGTATTGATACATACCTTGATTGAACCATCTGAGTATCCACTAAAGAGCAAGCCTTTATGGTAGATAAGTGCTGTTACAGCTCCACTGCCAGATTGATGCATCTCTATGGTTTGTGTATGAACACAAGATATGCGTTGGTCCTATCGGTATTGAAATTGTTAAGAGTTATAAGTCCACCACTAAAACATGACAATCTTATAAGACTTGACTATGATTCTATTTACATGGTTGCTTTTAACTTGTGGCTGGAATGAAGGCAGAGATTGTAATAATTTGAATGTATAGGTGAAGTGAACTTACTGATTTGCTAAATAGATAATATGTTGCTTTATGCAATTCGTCTGCCATCCAAGTCACATGCGAAAGACGTCTCAAAGACTCTCTAACGCCTTCCGAGAAATTGATTAGTTTGTGGATTCCTATGTGAATACTACACTTTAGTATACAACAAAACTTACAGTCACATGTTTATCAGAAAAATGTTTATATGATCTAAAATTCACCTTTGCCTGAGCTAAAATTGTAGATGCAGATACAAGCAAGAAGTCTTTCTTCAAGCTCCAAACCAGGGTGTAGAAATTGAGATATCTCATCAAGTAAGACTTCACAAGCTGAGTATTTTAAACTATTTGGACCTTTTGAAATCTCTATACTAAGCCATGCAATGGCTATAAGACATGCTTTTGAAACACTCTTGTTTTTACTCTTTAGCCCTTCTTGTAAACCACAAAATGTGGCTTTTCCTGTCTCACTAACTCTTCTTGATATTTTACAACACCATCCATCTATTCCTGGATCCTGCAAAAGTTATGAACTTTTTCATTATTTACACTGCTTTTGGCTTTTGATTATTAGTTACTGTTAGAATGTTAAAACTTATAAAAAGAAGTACCTGTAAACATTCATCTGACCAGTTGATGTTTCTAATCATATTCATGTGTGACATAGAAGTTAAACCTCCTCTTTTCATTAGCCATGCAGAAGTGTATGGTTCTCCTGTCCATGAATAAGTTCCACCGATATTCGAAAGAATGAATGTTGATAAAAACTGTATATGTGAATCTTCAATATATGTTACTGCATCAAGGAGAGCTCTTGTAGCTTCATTTCTGAACTTTTTACTCTCAGGAGGAGAATCCTGTAGACAATATCAATACAAAATTATTTTCTTTATAGAAATGGAATCAATGAGGCATGGTTTTCTAAATCTTTACTACTAACCAGTGAATTCAATTGAAGCAATATATCTGCTGCAAAGAGTTTGTGATCACCCTGCAATTGTTTAATACACTGCAATAATGTATCCTTAATGTCAAAACTTCCTTCTTTCTTTATCTGCTGCAGAATCTTAATAGATGAAGACCTGAAGTTCAAAGAATGTTGTTATATGAAAAGTGTAATTGGTAGTTTGAAATTGG